GCCCCACTGTCCACGTGCCCCACTGCACGCAGCTCCACTGTGCACGCAGCTCCACTGTGCACGCGGCCCCACTGCACACAGCCCCACTGTCCACGTGCCCTACTGCACACGGCCCCACTGTGTGCACGGCCCCACTGTCCACGTGCCTCACTGCACGTGGCCCCACTGTCCACGTGCCCTACTGCACGCGGCCCCACTGTGTGCACGGCCCCACTGCACACACGCCCCCACTGCACGCGGCCCCACTGTGCACGCAGCCAGCTCACTGAAGCTGTGCTGTCAGGAGACATACGTCAACGCTCATGCTCAGGCAGCATTCCTGGTGTCTGCTGCGCCCTTGTCCTGCCACTCAGTGTTCTGACGGGCTCATACGTAGCCTGAGGGACGCTGCTCGAAAGACCAGAAGTGACATGTGGCCAGGCCCCGCCTCACAGAACATGTGCCAATGCTCCGCAGTCCTCAGTCCCATGTCACTGCAGTGGGAGTTGCACTTGTAACCAACTCTGCCAGCTGCCCAGAGGACATCCCTGATGCTGTTCCGAGCCTCCTGCCACATGAGCGCATCACCGTACCCTGTCACACTTCAAGTTAAGGACCCAGTGAGAGCTTCCAGGCCGTGTAAGAAATACATCTCAGAGTTCCTCTCACTGGTCTCTTTTAAGAGACTTCAGTAGGGAGACACAGCCCTGTCAACCTGCCCTGATGGCTAGAGACGGACACTGCACCTCTAACGGGATTTCAAACACAGGGAACAGCTGGTGGAGCCATAGGTAAAAGACTAGACCGTCTACACTGTGCTTCGTTCCCCTATTTGAGGACGTTTCTCTGCAAGAATGGGAAGAAATATGCCTTCTTCTATCATATGCCAATTAGCCTGATTTCCTCTAGAATCCTGCCTCTTTCTAAGCTGTCAATATTATATGTAAATGTCCTCATCAGCATCACCTGTAACAGCAAACACCTGGAAACCCAAACGTCGGCATCAGAGCAGACACACAGTTACTGTATAGTCACACATCGGGGCACTAGTCACCGGAACACAGAGTAGAGCTACATGCAATGACCAGAGATGGGCCCCAGGACAATCATGGTGAGTGACAATGTGTTCAAAGAACACATGCAGTGTGACTCCAAGCAAAACAGGACACCGCTTGGGGACACAAAAGTACGCACTGAAAGTGTAAAGGGAGTGTCCAACTCTGAAAGGGGAAGGAGGGGCTAGGACACAGAGGAGCCCATAGGGACTTCAAAGTAGCAGACATGTCCACTATCATAAACTCCGTGGTGAGTACATGAAGCTACAGTCTTGGGATCCCTTATACTTTACATAAACTTCAATTATTAATATACTCTACCGAGGAATTAGTAAAACCTTAAATATGATTAGACCGAAACAACAGTAATTAAGACATCTGAGCCCCTAAAAATGAAATTACAGGGTTGCTATGAAGTTTCTGGCATATTCTGGAAACACACGTGATCCATGATGTGGGCTCAGGATGCCAGCCTCCACTGAACCACAGCAGCACTGCCTGGCAAACCTGTAGGGAAGACCGTGCCACACAGGGGCCGCTGTCTCCCAGCACCACCCCGCACGGTCCTAGAAGTCAGCGGGAGAGGGGCCTTCCTGAGATGCCTTCAGTCCACAGCGTCTTAAGAAACAGGCTCTAAGGACATCAATCTTCTCTAACTGCCACATACACCCCTCCCAAGATTCCCATCTGCTGAGCGCCTCTATCTGGTCTAGTGTTCTGTTCTGCGTGATGATTGCTCTGCAGTCTCTGATCACACCTGTGTTCACACAGCTAGAATTTTGGTACAAGAATAAGTAATTGGGAACACGTCCTCTGTACGCCCAAGAACACAGGCCACATTACTTAGAGCTGACTTCTGTAAAAGAAAGGAAAATAATCTTACATTGCTATTAATCTACCAGAACTAAATAAGCAGGAAAACATCTCTCTCCATGGCTAATAAAAATATAAGAAACATAGGTTCCAAGTAGTTCATACTGATATTTTTATGACAAGGACTTGGAGTCAATATATGAGACTTCTGAGTCTAAGGGAAATATTTGGTAAGAAATCAGGAGGCAAAAAACAAAGTTTAAATAAAAATTAAAGGACCTATGATTTGAAATTAAACATTAGTGATTAAGAATTTTAGTGTCCACTTGCATCAAATATTTAACTTATTTTTTCGAATCAGGAAATATTTAAGGTTTACCTAACAAGTACAGGAGCCACAGTGGATGCTATTCACATAACGATGCTGCGGACACCCTACCTTTAGAGAGAAACAGCATGCAGGTCTGGAGTCAGCACAAGATGCAGAACCCCAAA